CTTGCTAATTTCTTTTTAATTACATGAAATTGAATCTAATTACATCTTGATTTCAGCTACTAGATGATTTATTTACAAGATTTGGGTTTTAATTTCTTACCTAAAATTTTCAATTTGGTGAATTCCTTAACAACCTCCTGCGCCTCCTCACTTTTCCTCACTTAGTTGTCTTGGTTTACATCTCCAAGGCTTCTTCAGCACAACCATGACTTTAGCCCCCCTTTCCTTTTCTCTCTTTTCCTCTCTCAGTTCTCTCTCTGTTTCTCTCACTCAGTTTTCTCTATTTCTTCCTCTTTATTTTGAACCCAAAATTCCAGCACATATATCACACACGCACAAAACATTTCTCTTGTTAACAACACATTGCGCACGTGCACATTGTTTCAAACTTCGAGCACATCACTTACACATATATACACAACCAGATTTCTCAGCACACACACTCTCAATTCTAGATTCTTCCTTACTTCAATTTGTTTTTGCTTAATTTAATTGAGCAACACTTAATCTTAATAAACGTTGATTAACACATAATTAAATTAATCATACCTAATCATAAATCTCACATAATTTAATTAGTCTAATTTGACTTCCATTAGAGCCTAATTAATTATATTAAATTTATCAATCTGAATCGGATTTTTAATCGAACTCCCAAAACGCTCCAAATATTAAATTAAACTTATTTCCATCATCAATTTTAGTTTCTTAAATTATTAAGGCCTTCAATTTCATATTAAACTTCAAAATCTTCGTCAATAAATTACATATTCAATTGAACACCTTATAAATAAATTTAACTCATTATTCCCAATTCTCACAACTTAATCAACTCTAATTTGGACCCATGTAATAAAATCTCAATTTTACTAAACTGAATCGAATAGTTAATTAAACTCTCATATTGTCCGATACTCAAAGTTAAAATAATTCAATTCACCAATTATACTCTCTTGAGCCGTCTAAGCTTTCAATTTCTGATTCCAAATTAAATCCTTAATAATATCATATACGAATCAGTCTCCAAAATTTTCATAAATCCCAAATTAAATCAAAATAATGGGCAATTAAATTTAAATCTCCTTAATTAATTAAATGCTAATTATTATACATAATGTGGTCGTTACAAACAAGAATGAAAATTAGAGTGCAAAATCCAAATGAGTGCTTGTCTATTTATAGATGAATTTGTGGCTTTCCAGATTTGAATTAAATAGGTGTAAACCTGTTTGAACAGGTATAATACCTGTTCGGTTTGGAATGAACAGGTAAGGAACCTGTTAGGTTTAAATTTTGAACAGATACTAAATCTGTTCGGTTTAATTGGACAAATATGTACCTGTTTGGGTGGAAGAATAATCCAGACATCATTTCTGAATTGATTTCAAAATTTAAATTCAAAAAAAGACAAGAATTTAATTTTAGAAAAATAAAATTCCAAAATGTTTTTGGCCCAAAAAGATAAGCATTGGGCGAGACAAGCCCAACCCAACCTCACACCATACACCCGCATCAAAGCCCAGCTTGCCCGACCGATCGAACGAACGGCGGTGGCGCGCGTGTGTGTTTATTTTGGGTCCAATGGGTCTAGCCCACTTTTCCCATAACCTCCCCCTCTATAAAACTTGAGTGCCCCTTGGGGCCTACCCCATGTTCTAAACCTAAGCTTTATAAACCCACACAAAGTTTGCCCACCAAACCAATGTGGGACAACCCTTAACTCAAACCTCTATGGAAATTTCACCAAAAACACCATTTCCATGGAGCTCATTTTGGCTTCAATTTTCTATTCACCCGATAATGGTTTTGAGCAATTAAATATACTACGTGAATCACAACGCGGCATAGAACGCGTTACCACTTAGACCCGCCAACTTTGGCGTATAGGTCCCACCTAAAAATCAGACCAAAGTTAAGGAAAAATATATTTTTCCCAAAACCATTTCTTACAATCCCCCATATGAATGGAATTTTATGACAACATAAATGCAACAATATGCAAAATTTGTCGAAAGATTATAAATCAAAAATATCTTGCATTAGGATAGGTAGCTTTCGGCCTTGAACCTTCCCCAGTGATAACCTAACGGACTTACTAGCTAACTAATGGACGCGATGCCTTGAATTGTTCAGCCGTTTGTGTAAGCCAAGACAATAGATTTCACACAAAATATCTTTTGACACATCGTGGTTCTCATGGTTGTGTTCATTTTGGCCTTGAACGCTCTTGGCTATTCATGAGTGCTTCTAGAGAATTTAGCCTCTTCATTCTCATAGAACCGGCCCCAGTTCGACACTCATATATGTGATTCTTATTGTGAATATCTCTTATACTCGTCTTGATTTTTATGCCTAAATCAAGATATAAGTAATCATTAAAAGCGAAAGCTTATCCTTAAACCCTTGCATATAACACATGTTGTAGATATCACTCTCACCATAGGAGTGGGTAGGAAAATTTAATCTCTTGGTGATTTCTAGCGAGCCACACATAACTTAGTTGTCCTTTTGAACTTAGTTCTTGGGATCTCAAGTCATCTAAGTAGGGTTACTATAATGATGACTCTTATGTAATAGGCTTTAATTTCATCCCCTTCGATGAACTATATAGTTGCTCTTTTGTCAAACCTTTTGTTAACGGATCCTCAATATTCTCTTTAGATTTTATGTAATCTATTAAGATTATTCCATTTGAGAGCAATTGCTTTACAGTATTATGTCAATGACGAATATGTTGTGACTTACCATTGTACATTAAACTCTATGCCTTGCCTATTACAGATTGACTATCACAATGAATGCAAATAGCTGGCACAGGTTTTGGCCACATTGGAATGTCTTCTAAGAAGTGGCGAAAACATTCTACTTCTTCTCCTACTTTGTCTAAAGTAACGAACTCAGATTCTATTGTGGATCATGTGATGCATGTTTGTTTCGTGGATTTTCAAGAAAGAGCAGCACCTCCTAGAGTAAACATATATCCACTAGTGGATTTTGAATCTTTAGTATCCGATATCCAATTGGCATCACAATAACCTTCTAGTACTGTAGGATATCGAGTAAAGTTCAAACCATGATCACGGGTAAATCTTAGATATCTAAGAACCCAAATGATTGCTTTCCAATGGTCTTCTCCGGGGTTACTAGTGTACCTACTCAATTTATTGATAGCATAAGCTATACCAGGACGAGTGCAATTCATTAGGTACATTAGGCTTCCAATGATTTGGGAGTATCTTAGCTGAGACACCACATCACCTTTATTTTTTGATAAATAAAGACTGATGTCTACAGGTGTTCTTGCTACAATCATATCATCCTTGATGTATTTACCAAGATTGAGATAATGCATACCCATCAGATGTTTTAGTAATTTTCATTTCTAATATAACATCTGCAACCCCCATATCTTTCATATCAAATCTTTTGTTCAACATTTGCTTAGTTGATTTGATCGTGTTTTAACTGTTTTCAATGATAAGCATGTCATCCATATAAAGACAAACGATGACATAACCTTTGTCAGTGTTTTTAACATAGATGCACTTATCACATTCGTTTATTTTAAACCCATTAGTACGCATAGCATGATCAAATTTTTCATGCCATTGCTTAAGAGCTTGGTTTAATCCATAAAGAGATTTTACAAGCCGACAAACTTTCTTTTCTTGTCGTGGCACTACAACCCTTTCGGGTTGCTCCATATAGATCTCTTCATTTAGATTACCATTTAAGAAAGTTGTCTTAACATTCATTTGACGTATCTCTAAATTATACAACGCTGCTATAGCAATAAGCATGTGGATGGATGTTATTCTTGTCATAGGGGAATATGTGTCAAAATAGTCCAGAATAATGATGAGATATTACATCTCCTTCATTTCCAGGATTTATATCCTTTTATCCAGAAATATAAGTATGTCCATATAGGACTTGTCCATTCTGAACCTACTGGGTCTATAAAGCCAAAATCCAGATCTCCTAGTGACACCCCACTTGAAACAGATCCTATAGTTCAAGGGGTACAATTTTCAAAAAATCAAATACCACATGGTATTTACGGATCCAGAAGGCAAGAAAAGCCTTACAGCCCCACAGCCAGTGACATGAATTTTGAACTTTAATGGATTTTACACCAGGAAGTAAAATCGTGTAAAATCATAATAGCCCTTAATAAGGACTTACAGAAGAAAGAATACAGGACATTTAGGGAATGGTATTTTAAAATCCATACTCCTTTCCAGTTAGAACAATACAAATTTCAATATTATGAATACTTGGAACAACATCAGACTATCTAGTCTTTTCCCCATTGGTATGTGCAACACATAACCCCTACAGAATCTCAAATAAATGTAATTGAAAAAATCCAGCAAACATGGGTTAGTACAGATGGCCAAAACTTTATCTCCATTCATCCACCTACTCAACCTTTGGAGTTACAACCAGTAAGTAGTGGTACGGGTACAAAACCTTTAGATGTCGCTGCTTACATGGAAGTACCTTAAAAATCTCAAAATAGGGATCCAGTTCTTGTTCAAGATCTAATTCCTATTCTAAAACAACATAATTATACAAATTTGTTTTGCCAAACAGTAGGTAAACAAGTTACTAGAATTGAAGAAACTGTCAATCATATTAAGGACAGTTGTCATTTACAGCCAAAACAAAAGGTTAAAACTGAAATTATTCCAGTAACAATTAAACCTCCTTTAGAAACAACCAAATTTAAGTTATCTTCCACCAAAAAAGATACAGAATTTATGGATACTCTAGTCGACAAGATTAAAAGTCTTAAAATAGGCGAATCCTCTTCAATCAATATGATATCCAGAAACAATATTTCCGAAGGAGAAAATTTAACATTTTCTCAAATTTCAGAAATCAAAAACGTTTTCCAGAATAATCCAACCTCCATAAATAAAGTTAACTATGGAGAATCTTCAAGAAATAGTCATAGGACTGCTCCCACAAGACATTTTTATCCTCGCAGTACTCCTATGGATATTCTCTATGAAGAAGATTTTTTACAGACACAAAAATCCTATCATGGAAAAACTATCTATGAATGGAACATAGATGGTCTTTCAGAATACCAGATATTTGAATTATTACATCAAATGATCATGTATTCAACAATTTGCAAACAAAATGAGAATGACGATCATGAGATCACTCGATTCTTACTCAATGGTTTTACCGGCATCCTAAAAGCATGGTGGGATAATATTATTACAAATACCCAACAAATAGAAATTCTTACAGCATTTAAAAGGATTACAGATCCTTTAACAGGTACTGTTCAATCTGAACAAGACGCTGTTTATACTTTTATCAATACCATTCTACACTATTTTGTAGGAGCCTCTCCTGATGGTTTAGAAGATAGGAGTAGAGAACTTTTACAGAATCTAAGATGTCCGTCTTTATCCCATTTTCGATGGTATAAAGATGTGTTCATGATGAGAGTAGTAAGAAGATCTGATGCTAACAGTGAACATTGGAAAGCCAAGTTCATTGATGGTCTTCCTACCTTCTTTGCTGAAAGAATCAGAAAGAAATTAAGGGATAAACATAGTAAAATGTCTATTCCTTATTTAGAATACACTTATGGTCAACTCATAAGAATTGTTACAGTAGAAGGTCTTGCTCTTTGTAATGATCTAAAATTACAGAATCAAATGAAAAAACAAAGTCATAATGAATTAGGAGAATTTTGTGAACAATTTGCCTATGACACTAAAATACAGTATCCTTCCAAACATAAACATAAAAAACATAAGTATGGAAAATCTCCAAAAGATTATTCCAAAAAATACAGAAAAAAGAAATATTATAAACAAGTCCAGCAACCCCAGCCTTCAAAGATTAAAGGCAAACAGAAGAAAACTTATCCTCAAAAGGATAAGACTACAGTTAAATGTTACAAATGTGGACAAATTGGTCACTATGCTAATCGATGTAAGGCCAAGATACAACAAAAATTAAATGAATTAGCTTTAGATGACGAAATCCAGTAACAAATTCTTCAGATGCTTTCTGAAGAGTCTGCTTCAGATTCTATTTCAGATGATGGTATTGTTGTCATGTATTCATCATCCTCTGATAGTGATACTGAGTCTCCTCCAGAAATTTGTGCCTGCAAACCACAAATAAATCAAATAACAGAAGAAGTTAACTATTGGAAAGCAATAGTCGAAATGAATGGGCTTGATATTAGTAGCCCTAGTATTAATGTCCTTACAGACGATCAACAGCATATGCTGAGTATTGCTGAACAGATCATAGATCCAGAAATAAAGTTAAAATTTTTTGAATTATGTTATCAACAGCATAAAAAAGAAGAAATTCTACCCCCAAAACATTACAGTATGAAAGAAGTGTACAATAGAATTAAGAATATTTCTGAAGAAAAACCCATAACAATCCAGGATTTAAAAATGGAAGTCAATGCTTTAAAAGTTGAAATTAAGCATTTACAAACCTCTCATATTACTATTAATTCTGAAATTAAAAAGATTAATAGTAAGATCCAGAAGAAAGATCATGAATCCACTTCAGAAAACATAGAATCCAAAGAACCTAATTATCTTATGCTCATGAACACTGTTACTTTCCAGAAATGGTATATCAGAATTACCTTTATGATCAAACCTGATTTTATCATAAAGGATGCCATCGCTCTTGTTGATAGTGGCGCAGATATGAATTGTATTCAGGAAGGATTAATTCCTACTAAATACTTTCATAAAACCACTCAGTCACTAACAAGTGCAAGTGGTAATTCTTTATATATCCAGTATAAACTTCTAGAAGTTTTAATTTGCAACCAAGGATTATGTCTTCCCACTTCTTTTGTTCTTATAAAGAACATGTCTCATGCCATAATTCTGGGCACTCTTTTTTTGTGCTTACTTATGCTAATCTCTAAAATAGATTCAATTGGCATACATACAACCCTGAATAATCTGAAGATTATTTTTGAATTCATTACAGAACCTTACACGAAAGAATTAGATCAAATCAAAGATCTAGTTAATTTTAAAGAAAAACAAATTAATTTCTTACAGAAAGAAATTTGTTTTCTTACTACAGAAAAAAGACTTCAACAGTCTTCTTTCCAGCAAAAAATTAAATCTCTTGACCAAGAATTCAAAGATGAAATTTGTAGTGATATTCCAAATGCTTTTTGGGATAGGAAGAAACATATTGTTTCATTGCCCTATGAACCAGGATATGATGAGCGGAAAATTCCAACTCGCGCTCGACCAAGCCAAATGAAAAAAGAATATTTAGAACTTTGCAAAACAGAAATCAATACTCTTCTTCAGAAAAAGCTTATCCATTCCAGTAGATCTCCTTGGAGTTGTACTGCCTTTTATGTTAATAAAAATGCAAAAATTGAAAGAGGTGTGCCAAGATTAGTCATAAATTATAAACCTCTTAATGAAGCCTTACAATGGATAAGGTATCCAGTTCCTAATAAAAAAGATCTTTTAGATCGTCTCCAGGATGCAGTCATATTTTCTAAATTTGATATGAAATCAGGATATTGGCAAGTCCAAATCGCTGAACAAGATAGATATAAAACTGCTTTTACAGTACCTTTTGGGCATTTTGAATGGAATGTTATGCCTTTTGGTTTAAAAAATGCTCCATCTGAATTCCAGCATATTATGAATGATATTTTTAATCCTTATACAGAATTCTCCATTTGTTATATTGATGATGTCTTAATTTTCTCCTCATCAATAGATCAACATATGAAACATCTTAATATTTTTAAGCATGTTATCATCAGAAATGGATTAGTTGTTTCTGCACCAAAAATGCAACTTTTTCAGACAACAATTAGGTTTTTGGGCCATAATATTCATAATGGTACCATCATTCCTATTAATAGAAGCATGGAATTTGCATCTAAATTTCCAGATGAAATTAAAGACAAAACTCAATTACAGAGATTTTTGGGTAGTTTAAATTATATTCATGACTACTATCCTAACCTTGCTACTAATGCAGTAATTCTATATTCCAGACTTAAAACTCTACCTTGTTTATCTTTACCGAATCCTGCATGGAAGAAAATTGTTGAAACAGATGCCTCTAATATTGGTTTTGGTGGCATTCTAAAACAATTTAGGCTTAGTTTGGGAAGACTAAATAAGTACACTTTTTGACTTTTTATGAAATATGGGTTGGGTTTGAGTTGGGTTTGAAGTGATGTATTAGAGAGGTGATGTGACTTAAATAAGATGATGTGACTTAAATAAGATAGTGACTTTTTAACTTTTTGTCTTTTTTCAATCATGCCAAACTTGGCCTTAATCCTACCAGTAACAAAGAAGAACTGTTAAGGTTTCATTCTGGCATTTGGTGTAACAACCCTTACTTCAACTTAGCCATACTTGCATACATTTATGTATGATTTTGTTTTGTTATGTGCGTTTGCAAACCCTGTCTTGTTTTTCTTGAGTGTTATTGCATGCTTAGTTCTTGCCTAGTGTGTTGCCGAGGTCACCTTAAGCCTAGACACCTTGGAACCTTTCTATACTTAGAACTATCTTGGAACCACTTCGGTTGACCTCCATCTTCACCCTGGCATATTGGCCGAGATGTCACTATCTAGGCCGAGGTGCACGTCACCTAGGCCGAGATGTGCATCATCTAGGCCGAGATGTTATTATCTAGGCGTTCTAGATCCTTGATCCTTGCACTCAGTGATTTTGTTCCTAGAATGATATGATCTAGACCGAGGTGTGGCACATCTAGGCCAAGGTGTGGCACATCTAGGCCAAGGTGTGGCACAGCTTAGTCAAGTGTTGTCCTTCCAAGCCGATGTCGGTGTCACCTTACTTGCTGAAGCTTTGCCCTTAGCCGAGATCATCACTTGTCGGAGTGCTCTTGCCGTCAAGCTTGTTGAACACACTTTGTCATGGTCTTGTCCTGTCAGTCAGTCACCTTTTTTAGTAGAGCCAATCAGCCGATGCCACATGTCCCAGCAGAGGGTTAAGTCAGTGACTGTCGAGAAAACATATCATTTGTATCAAATCTTTTCTTTCAGAGAGAGAGACTCTAGGAAGGAGAAGGAGAAGTTTTGAGTGAGAGAGTAGACTTCCAAGCTTGATCGTTAGAGTTTGAACCGTTAGATCCTAGTTTTGAGGTTAGAATCTTAATCTACTCTTGTTGTTCTTATTGATCATCTAGCTATATTGCACGATCGAATCTGTTTTGCATGCCATGCATTAATTTAAAGTCGGTTTTAGTAAGAGAAAATAGTGTTCTTGTGTTCTTAAAGAAAAGTCTTGTTTTGATCCGAAAGTTTGCATCTAGAACCATGTTTTTGTGTTTGTTCTCACAAGATCTTTGAATATGGGTGCCCAGGTCCATGTTTTCAAACTCATAGCACGGAATCTCAGACCTTGTAATAACAAGTTATGATTTTAGCATGCATGCTCTTCATCTTCTCCATCTTCATGTTCTTCATGTTCCTCCAAGGGAAACCCAGATTTTCCCGACGTCGTTTTTGTATGTGGCCGTCGAGACCGCACCTCAGCGAGATGGTGTGGGACCTCGGCCAAGACCTGGTTGGTGCCCAACACGTTCTCCCGAGATGAGAAACAGTGTTTTGTTTTGATTTAACTTAGTTTTGATGAATGCCAAGATCATCCGTTTGCATGTGAATCTTGTTTGAAAGTACGTTCAATAGACTTTGTCATGTGTTTGTAGGACTCAGACTTTTTCCTTGACCCTGACGTTGAAGAACTAAGTGAGTGGTATTTTTAATAAAGCTATGTTATCAATGTTTTGATGAGCTTTGCTTTGCTTTGTTTTGAAAAGTATTTGTTGAGTATGAATGATTGTCCCTATTTTGTATATCAAGCATTATCTTGTTTTTGATAACATTCTCGGAAAGTCCTTAGCGCCAGGGGACTATAATACGACTGCACATCTTGTTTTGAAAGTCCTTAGTGCCAGGGGACTATAATGCAACTGCACATCTTGTTTTAGGAGTCCTTAGTGCCAGGGGACTGTAATGCAACTGCACCATTGTTTGAGATATCTCCCTTGCCTTGTCTTGTTTTGCCACTGACGGTTTACCGCGTGGGTTTGTTTGTCCGGAATGTCATCATTTGTGATATGTTGATGCTAGTAAGCATCCCTTGAAGCTTTAAAGATTTTCTAGATGGACGAGGTCCATCCCTTGTTATATAAAGTTTTGATATGTATCGTTTTGAAAAGATTTCGGTTATTATTCATGCAAACCCTTTATTATTCATATCATTCACTGAGTATCCAAGCTCACCCGCTCTATATATATGTAGGTGATGAGCAAGAAGGCGGTGACGCCTAGATGTGATTCGCGAGCTTGTTTTGGATTTTTGTTATGTCGACTTGACTTGTATTCACGTCGGCAGTCTTGAAAATTATGCTTCTCAACTTGTAATATAGCGACCCCGGTCTTTTCCCTTTAGATTATTGTATCCAGACTTAGGTTCCGTGGATCCTGTCATTATATATTGGTTGTTGTTGGCCTCCTTTAATCTCTTTGTATTTGAGTTATAGGATGTGTTGGGCAGGTCTGTTACAGGTCGGTTGAGTTTAGATGCGAAAACTAGTTGCCCGGATTTTAACCTGTCCACTCGAGCGGGAGTTTGACGCTCGAGCGGGGATTCTTTTGTTGCTTGTCCGCTCGAGCAGGGGGTTTGGTAGCTCGAGCGAGAGTTTGCGTCTGATTTGGACCTGTAGCTTTTTGGCATTCTAGCATCGAGCCGAGCTTTTTTCGCTCGAGCGAGTTAGTTCGTTCTTCGATCGAGCGATAGTTTCTTCGCTCGAGCGTGTGTCTGGTTACAGCCTGAGGGTTTGAGTTTCTTCGCTCGATCGAGTTTTCTTTCGCTCGAGCGAGCTTTTGGGTTGTTGGCTCGAGCAAGGCTTCCTTGGCTCGAGCGTAGTTTCTCTGTGTCTAGTCGCTCGAGCGACCAGTCTTCGCTCGAGCGAGCCTGTCCAGTTTATATACACA